AAGAGAGATGATAAAAACTTATAGTAATATCCTGTCTGGTTAAACTTTCTTAATGGTACACTCAATAATGGCATTATTTGTAGGTTATGCAATTATGGGTTAGAATTGGTGCACATATAATTTTTAAATGGGAAGCAATTGCTCGGTGGAGACATTATCTAGGGCACTAAGAACACTCCAGAAAAACAATTGCGGCAATGGGAGCCAAAGAAAAAAGAAAGATTGTGTCAATTGAAGGGAACTAAGGAACTAGTAAAAATACAATATGCCAAAAGGCTGCAGTGCTGCGGACACCAAAACCCAGCTTCATTGTTTCCTAATTTTTTCTCGAAAATCACAAAAATTACCACCGATCTATTGGAAAAATTACTAGGGTTTAGATCCTTATAAACTTTATAATGTAATGGCACAAACGTCATCGCCGTAAATAAATCATAATCGCAAATATAAAATGAAAAGTTTGGGGATGTTTTGATTATTTCATCCCTATTTTTCCCACTTATAATAACATAAAATTTATGCGATGTTGAAATTTGTCAAACACAGACCAACCACGGTTGTTTTAACTTTAAATTTGTAATAACTTGAAAACCTGGGGAATTATGATTTTGTAAGTGAAACACTGGGCAACCGGAAAATTTTCTGATGAGGTTGCAGTGCTGGGGACACCAAAACCCAGCTTCATTGTTTCCTAATTTTTTCAATCACAAAAACTATTCCACCGAAAACTTAACTAAAGTGAGATCCTTATAAACTACACACAATGGCACAAGCTTCGTTTCAGTAAATAAATCAGAAATGCAAATATAAAATGTAAAGTTTGTGGAAGTTTTCATGATTTCATCCGTATGTTTCTAACTTATAATGACATAAAGTCTAAGCGATGTTGAACTATGTCGAAAGAAGCATAATCCATAATAACAACGGTTGTCGTAACTTAAATTTGGTTGAAAACCAGGAGAGTTATGACGTTTTAAGTGACACACCGCACATCAGGGAAAACATGCCATGCTGTTGTATTTTCCGTTTGCGATATATATATAAAGTGGAAGGTTTATGGGCCGGACAAACAACTGAGGTCATCGCCGGCCCTCCGCGTGTATTCCTTTTCTTTCCTGTGTTTCTTTTCTCGCGTATTTTGTATTCAATTGCAGCCATTTGAGCATCTCGATCTGGTTACTGACTCTCTGCTTTTACTTGTATATTACGTCGTTATTTTAAAAAGCTAGCCTCTTGTTAGTACCTCAGGTTGTCAATTTAAGAGTAGATATACAACATACAATACATAACATATATATCGCCACAAACATAGAAGTCTGGTCACATTCACTCCCCCAGAGTACTCGATATTCCTCGGGGCGGGGCCGAACCCGCTCCATTCGCGCTAATAACTTACTTTTGCTCTCCAGACAACACACACTCACCCCAGAGTACTCGATATCCCTCGGTGCGGGGTAAATAACCCCTTCCTTTCACGCTAATTCCGTTTGCTATAAAAATTATTAATTTGGTGTGGTGTTTAATGACCGTTAGCTAATGTGGAGGTCGTGAGGTGCGGTCTGGTGTGACGCAGGTTTTAGAAAAACATTTTCTTTGTCGTGCAACGTTTTCGATCTTTATTGAGGACATCTTCAGGGCTCAAAGTGTTTGTTTTCCGTGTAGAGGGGTCATCCTTGTGTGTCGTGTTGACATATTTTTGGATTATGAGAGGTGCTTAAAATGAATCCGATTATTTTTCTTCAAAACAACTTATTTAGGTCTTCTTTATTGGAAAAGGTTTTCGATTTTTGTAAATTTTTATATTTGTATTTTCATTTAATACAATACGAAAATATATGTTTTTGACAACTCTTATGGATAAAACCGGCAAGAACGCTTGGGAACGTGTCTGATATTTTTGTCCAAGCATCGTCAAATAAAGGATACATTGAACTCAGTGATACCACGTCCGTATCCTCATTTTGTAAGTGTATTAATTTTCAATTTTTTTTCTTAAATTTCAGAAGCACACAGAAATAATTAATTGCATTGTTTATTCTGTATAGAATAAGGTTATAAAACAAAAAAAACTGACAAAACAGCATACAGACCAACCACCGAACGTTAGACAAATCAGACCAGCGAGATTTGTCTGATCAATTTAACCAAACAGGATAGGTTCAACATCTCGCAGACTTCAGCAAACAATTTCAAAATTATTATTTCGGTTCATATAAACTATTTAGGACAATAAGTGGTCTGCGGACATGGATAGGGCGACAGCCTGTCGATTTGCCCCCAGATGCTATCTTAGCTTCGTTTTCTATTATTGTATTTTTGAGTTAAAGTACAGTTTGACGATGATATGAAAATGAAGTATTGTTTTCCGAATATAATGATAAAGTTGCATGTAAAAATTATAATTTAATCTTTTTTCTCTGGTTTCCGATCATTTTAGACTGTATATCGTAGCTAGTTTCCCTTCTTATCATTTAACGATATTTTTGCATATCATCAATCACTGGAGATGGCGCGAAGTCGAAAGGCACCGGTCAGATCAAAACATCGAGAAAATCAAAATGATCGTAAACGATCCAACTAAGGTATAAAAATGTTTTACTCATCTTACATTTCTTAATACAAAGAGTGGCTTATTCGTGAAAAGCGAAAGTTTTTAATCTGCGTTGTAAAAATTATGAAAGACTGTTTATGGACGAGAAATTTTTATTTAAACCTCTCCTGTAAGAAAATTATTGGCCGGTAGGGTGGCGACAAATAGATTAGAAGGGAAATGTAATTCTTTTGTAAAATGGGAAAAAAGAGTGCAAGGGGAGGGGCGCACCTTAAATTCTGACCCAAATTTCCTCTTTTCCTCCAGGGAGAATCTAAAACTCTCTCCCTCTCGGATTATTTATGTGTGCCGAGGGCGGCACGTCTGTGGGGCGGCGGAAATGAAGATCGGGGGCGGATAAGGGAGCCTCCTCAAGTCTGCTGATAACCGAACAGGAGGCTCGGGCTATTTATTAAATTATCTGTTATTAAAGTGGAGCCGAGGGAGGACTTATGACGGCGGAGGGGTCGGGAGACACATTCAAAACATCTGCTTTTCAAAGTCGACGGGTTGATTTTCATTCCTGTTCCTCTTCTTCGTCGCGTCCTGTTCTTTTCTGATTGTCCCGGCTTGATCTACGTACTACACCCCCGGCTTATCGCATTGCGTGCGCCACGTAAATCATTCGGTAAGGGGCCCCTTGTTGATACGTTTTGTCATTTAAATCCTTACCTTCTTCTTTTATTGCAATTCTTCAAACCACCGGGTTCTGAAGGCAAAAAAATCCATTATCGCAAATTATTTTATATAATTTTTACACAGTACTTATAGATATTATTTTTACACATTTGGTATTAATACCAATTACACATAATAATCGAATAATATACAATCGAAGTTTTTTGCATTTTAGATATATCGTTACTTTCAGAATATATTTCTACATATTGTGTACAATTTTTGAACCGATGGCTACTTGAGATAAAGATTGAACTAGTCGAATATATCCACTCCCCAACTCGCAACTCGCCCCTCAACCGGTAGGTGAAAATCTAAAATTCGGTAAAAACACATACTTTTTCCAATTTTTTTGGTATTTTAGATATTTCATCAATTTTAGAACGTATTTTTACATACTGGGTACAACTTTTGAACCGATATGTACACGATATCAAGTTGAACTAGTTGAATACATCCATTCCTTAACTCGTAACTCTCAACTCGCCCCTCATTCGGTAGGCGAAAATTTCAAATCCGGTAAAAACACATACTCTTTCCAAGTTTTTTGGTATTTTAGATATTTCATTAGTTTCCGAAAATATTTTTATATATATAGTACAATTTTTGAACCGATAGGACACGAGATCAAATCGAACTAGTCGGATACATCCATTCCTCAACTCGTAACTCTCAACTCGCCCCTCAGTCGGTAGGTGAAAATTTCAAAGCACATCCTGTAAAACACATACTCTTTCCAAGTTTTTGGTATTTTAGATATTTCATTAGTTTCAGAAAGTATTTTTATATATTTGGTACAATTTTTGAACCGATAGGACACGATATCAAATTGAACCAGCCGGATACATCCATTCCCCAACTCGCAACTCGCAACTCGCCCCTCAACCGGTACGTAAAAATCTAAAAACCGGTAAAAGTACATAATTTTCCGAAGTTTTTTGATATTTCCTTAGTTTAAGAAAGTATTTATGCATATTGTGTACAATTTTTGAACTGATAGGTACAGCAGATCAAGTTGAACTAGTCAAATACATTCATTCCTCAACTCGCCCCTCAACCAGTAGGTGAAAATCTAAAAACAGGTAAAATCACATACTTTTTCCGTTTTTTGGTATTTTAGATATTTCATTAGTTTCAGAAAATCAAAACATTTTCAAATTAAAAAAATAAATCAAAACTGACTTTTATGGAGTAGTTTATAAGTGTAATTTGACAATGTCGTGTCTGATGGTACGTATGATCGTTTCAATATGACCAGCATGATTAAGCAGAACAAGATGATCGGAGGAGATCAATCTACAAATCGCTGATTTAATACCATTTTTACTTAACTTCAATTGTCCAATCCTGGTAGAGCCAAAAATTATAGTTTCAATGATATAATTAAATAGTGATACGATCTTGATTTAAAATATTTCAGGAGCATATTTTTACGAACGTTCGCAACTACAGAGGTCATACGGGGTATCGGTGTTTTTGTTGAAAAAAAATCCTGAGAAAATATGGATTTTCAAATTTGGCCATTTTTTTGTGTAAAACCCAGGTGTAGGTTTTTTTGATGAGCAACATATTGAAAAAATCAAATTTTTATATATTATTAAAAAAATTAACTAAAAAGAATTTTATTGATAGACCTGCTATACTATAATTAATTATGTTAATATGGTTAGCATAGGGTGTTCGATAGATGGATAATGTTCATTTGTTAGGAGAATGTGTTTTACATTAACAGATGTAGACGGAGAAGGATTTTACAACACAGACTTGACCTGCACTAGAGCAGCAAGAATCAGCACGCATAGCAACCACTGAAGATGGCAAAATGAAACTCGTCTGACAGACAAAACCACAGAGACTAATTAGACCATGTCCGACTATTGGATAGCCTCAAACAGGTTTACGCTCATAAAATTATATTTTTAAATATAAAGTTTAATGAACTAATTATAATATCCGCTGTTCCATATAAAAATATTTACCAAAATCTCTGTATCGACCTGTTATTATTTCATGAGCTTCTCTAATAAATGTACATTTTCAGCTCAATACACCGTAAAAAACAGTGTTTTTTCTTTCTCATAAATTAACCGGAAATCTGCAAAATGCCGAAGAGTTTGAGATAAAACGATTAGTAGTTAATGCATGTTCCGTGTATGAAAGAGACAGGGCCGTTATCAGCGTATTATCGCCTCGGAGCGATTGGGATGGCGAGACCGGTCCCGATACGTTTCCAATTGTCTTAAATTGTTTGTCATAATCGTTCTTGACCCTAGAGAAAACTGTAATGCATTATATTTCTCAAGGATAAGGGGAAAGAACTGAAGTAAAAAATATACAAAAAAGATTTGTCTCTTAATGAAGTTTGTAAAATTTCAAATATAACATATTTTTAATCTTTGGCCGAGTTTGCCGCCTCTATAATCATATTTACATCGTTTCAAAACTTGTAATAGAAAATTACCATGTGAAACATTTTGACTCTACGGTGTACTATCTACCTTCTAACCATTCTGAAGGGTTAGGAAAGCACACGTTCTGTATTTTTTATCCTCAGCCATATTGGAATGATACAAGTTTTGTGAAAAATGAACAGTGTTCTGAACATCAAAACCTAAAATATGATAAATATTACATCGCACAAAAATTTATGTACCTGTGAGTCTGTTATGTGTTACATTTTACGCTCTACACGCGATTAACGTACGTTTATCAGAGGTTTAATGTAAATTATGAATTAGCTACTGGTTGCAATTTATGGTAAATATAAAAATAATTATTATATAGTACTATGTTTAATTTAAGGTGTAAACCTACTTGTGTAACCACTGGTTTCATCAAAAACTACTACGTCAAGAAAAAAATTTTTCATTCGATATTATGAAATAAATAATACAGTAAAGTTACACGAGATGAGTAGCAATATAGACTAAAAATTTTGTTTAGAAAGAAACAAAGTTGATTTTTTTTACTTCCAAATTCCCTTGAATACTAATTTTTATGTAAAATAAAAAATATATCTTTCAGATTTTTTCTGTAAATCCGAAGATAATCAATATGGTGATATCTTTAACACTACTTCGTTCCACTGATTTAGAACTCTGAAAACTGAATGTAATTCTATGGCGTCCGTAAATAAATTGAGCTGGAGATAAAAATATAACTTTTGAAGAATTTTCGTTGATTTCAATTTTTTTTCACTCATAATCATATAATCTTTATACATTGTTCAGCTAAAAAAAAGGCGAATAAAAATTTTTATGAATTTATTTATCTCAAATATTTCCATTTCCACATGCTTCCGATTTTTTAAATGGAAAAATCACAAAAATATTAATAAATCTGAAACAGCGATACTGATCTACAGGAATTTAAAAGTCGTCGAACAACACGTAATATCTCTAACTTTTTTTCCATGAATAAATTAGAACCTGAGATTAAAAATAAAACGTGTGTGGTGTTTTAGTTGATTCCTCCCCTGCTGATGAAGTGCGGTGAATTTATTTACATTTTCATTATCGGCAATACCAGTTCGGGCTCTAATCCATGCCATTCAATTTCCTTGCGACTGAGCTTAAGATATTGGGTTTTTGACAGAACCTCGAAATTACGAAATGACTTGAATTTATTTTCCAGACAAAATAGTAAAAATAAATAAACAGATAAATTTTATTCTTCGTAAAAGTACAAATCGACTATGTTATAACTTAAAAATACATGCAAAACAAAGCTAGAAAAGCATATAAAAGAGTGTATTTTGGATGTTTTTATGGAACACAAACAACCATTTTTTTTTTTTAATTTAAATGATAGTATATATTTCCCTAGTACTCCATCCCTTCCTCAGCGGCACTTTCTCCTGGTCTGGAAGGATGGAAGGCGGAAAGGAAAAAAGTCCAAACTGCTTATGAAAAATTACAAATCTAGTGATATGTAATAACCCTGAATACATGGACAACAAAGGTGGAGAAACAAATTTATAGAATTTAGTTAAAATATATTTTTCAGTTTCAAAAGCCCAGAGGCAAGAACGGTCGGACTCGTTGCTGATTTTTTTTGACATCGCATCACAAAAAATTTGGTGATCCTACATCCGTAGCCTCCCCTATGCTAAAGTACGCAACAGTATTCCAATTCTTTCAGCAATACAAGCAAATATACAAATCTAGTGATTCATAATAGCCTTAAAATACATGGACCACAGAGGCTAAGTTTCAAAAAAAAAAAATCCTAAAAAACATCTATCCATGTAGGTTTTTTTTTCTTTTTTTTAACTATGAGGTTATATGAACCCTCGGGGTGCCGATGTTTTTGAAAAGTGGGGGTTTGAATGCAGGGCCGCTGGATTCGAACCCGGGATCTTTACGTTATAGTGATGAGCCCCGTGACAACCCTTAAACCGTTGCGGCCACTGACGCCCAATCCATCTAAGTTTATAATTGGCTAAGTCGAAAATGAAAGCTTTTCGGACTCCTCAAAACATCTACTTGTACCACAGGCCTAAAATTTAAAATTGTAATCTTGAAAAGTTGAGTTTTTGAATTATTCAGTTTTGGCACGAGTGGAAGGAGTTGGAAACATGTGTGCTTTTCTTTAAATTGCCCTACAATTTTATTATAATATCAGAAAGGAACTATTTAATTTCTCTACCTCCTAAATGCTGCTTCTTTGTCTTTTTAAGCCAGAAATTTGGAAAGATGTTAATAAAATTTGCGTAGGTTTTTGATATCAGCGATATAATTATTATAGACGAATAATTTGAATACCATGTAAGGTATATCATTATTGTCATTTTTTCTAACAGTAGTACCAATTAATTAGATGTGTTATACACAGATTAAATAAATAATTAAATTTACATAAATAAAGAAAGAAAGGATTTTCATAAATCTGATTGACGCCGGCCACGGGGCCGGAATTGTGTGGTGAAGGTCTTCGAAAATTACCAAAACGTCCTGTTTTGGTGGGGGTCGGTGAACAGAGGGGTAACAACTCAAGGCAAGGTATTCGGTCAGGGGTGGGAGTCGGCCGTTCGAGAAAGGGTTGGGGGTCGGGCAATCCACGGAAATGGAACCGAGGGACAGTTGTGAAGACAGCGGAACCCTAGAGGACGAAGGTCCGCCAGCTAGACGAACCGAACACTGGCCCAACTCGGGAGGGATGACGCTCGAAGACATGGGCTACAGCACGAGGGCATATTACAATTCGGCGACGGAGAGCCTCGACATCACAAACAACAACAAACCTCCGCATGCCGTCGGACAGGCAATACAGCATGTACAGGAGGATATGTGGAGATACGAAAATATGGAGCAGCAAGTTTGGGATCAAGCAGAATTACATCACAAAAATACAAATTCAACATCAAGTAGAACACAAGGTACAATTAACATCTTATCAAGAACAATTAATATTAACATGTTTTGGACGTCATTGAAAGCCAGTTCTTAAATTACCTTATACATTAACAGATCTATGTTCTTAGTTGCATAAAACAATTAAATTAATTTTATTAATTTGACAAAACAAACGTTTGAATTTAATTCTATGATCAAAATCAAAGAGACAGAATAACAGACGAATCTGTCTATTCGGTCTTTCATCTAGACACATTTTAGTTGTTGAATATTTTTACGGTGGTGAGATAAAAAACATACAAAAATCCTAATAACTTCCGATCATTGTGGTCTGACTATCATCGCTGTTTTGGTCTGCCAACCGCGATCGAACCATGAGACATCAGTTGTGGAAGAGTGGTGATGATGGAGCAGTGCCAAACTTGTATGGCAAACGACGACAAAGGGTAGTCAGACCAAAATGACAAAGCTAAGGTACATCATCTGGAATGTGGAATTCCAATGAAACCTTTCTTTTTTCTCTATAAAATAATTATATTTGCTCCTAATTTAGGCATACTAAAATCTTTATATCAAAGATACATAAAAGCTGTCAATGTACGTTATTGAACCTGTAGTTTTATCGGTTCCGATAATTTTAGTCTGCTCTTCTTTTCTGATTTGAGCTGTCAGACATATCCACGTCAGTGGAGGATTGGTGATAATGGAGAAAAGCCTAACGAGCATGATAGACGAGGACTGAGGATGGACCGTCCAAAAATACCGAGCTATAGGCTCATTTCTGTTATATCAAGGGGAAATCTTACAGTTTAATTCCAATTTTCATGGCCCTTATCCTTACTGGAGAGCCATTTGTTTAATAATGAGGCCAAATCATAAAGACTTTTATTTCACACATATGAATTGTCACAGTCTAACGAAAATTTGTTGTGATTTAATCCGAGTTTGGTCGGATTGATAAATTTAATCGGCTTTTTTTCGCTGTCAGATGCGTTTCGAACTTAAGCCATCATCAGTGGAGTGTTGGTGATAAGAAACGAGATTAGCAGACAGAAGATAGGCAGACCAGAAATACCACGCTACAAGTACGCTCGGCGGACCCGAAGAGGAAATCTCACAATGAAACCTCCAATTTTATTGACACTATACTGGATTGTCATTTATTATTAACATAATTTTATTTGTTGTTAATTTCGGTTGAGTAAAAAAAAAATCTCAAATGTACGAGCTGTAACGTCTGATTTTCGAGATTTAAACTGTAGTTTGGTCTGTTCCGATCATTTTGGTCTGCCTTTCCTCGCTTTTTTATCCACAAGAACGTTTTTTTCTTTCGCCATCATCAGTGATCGCGTCTGACGGATCAAAACGGCGATGATAGACAGATGAAATTGAACAGAACTGCAGTCGGTATATTTTTGTCTTTGGCAACGTCATCCTATAAAATCGTAGTAAAAAGTAATTTCGCGCCAAAATTCGGTTCGTTCCGGATAAAACTAGATCTTGTAGCTTTCGACCTGCTGCCGGCTTCGTGTTTTTCCTTCCGCGCTTGTTTATCAGCCGTTTATGTAATTGCCTGACGGGAAAACCTGTCGTTGTTTTGACCGACTATTTTCGAGTGGTTTTGACCGAAGGGAAAGCGGGATACTGCGAATTCTTTGTTGTAAAAAAAATCTCTTCGCGAGTTTCACAGATCGTACATTGTCCGCTAAAATCATATCCACGTCATAACTAAAGAGACTGTGGACTGTCCTAGACAAAACAGTATTGAAAGTAGTAACTGGAATGGGGAATATGTTGGACATACTTGGACTAACTGGTAATTAAGAACTGAACAGCACCTAGGGAGATTTTTGAAAGAACTGGACCAAATTATAGTGTCGAATAACTACTGAAGAGTTAGAAGCGTTAGAATGTTGGACGAATTGGTAATACTGCACAACAAATGGAGAGATTTTACACTATTTTAAACGTGGGCAGAAAGATATTGGCAAACTGCTACTAGAAAATCAGATTTTTTTTCTATTTTTTATGTTTTTAGATACTCGGAAAAAATCGTGATTTTGGATAAATATTGGTAAAACAATATGGATGAAATGCAATTCAGAGGTTTTAGTTTGTTATGGGTTAAAATATGGTGACATAATGACGATCTAATATTTCATTGATGAATAAATCAATTTTAATATAAGGTATATTAAGTATTAATAACAACATGAGACACACATAAAACAAATTTTACTACAATGAAATATCTGTGAAGATTTGGAGGCAGGTGTAATATTTGTGGAAAAAATAACATTAATGAACAGCAAGTAAAGAAATTGTGGACATATGTAGAATTAGTCAGTAGACATAAAACTACTGAAACGTTTTGTGGACATATATTGAATTAACTGATGAGATGATGACCCCGAGTTGTGCTAGAAAGTGATGGTGATGGTAGTGAAATAGCATAAGTATTAATTAAAAAGACCACATTGGGGTTACTACCGATGGGTATTTTCTCTACTCTTGTTTTCATTTTGTACGTATTTCATTTCTCTTCGTTACATGTTACCTCTCTGAAGGCAGTTTGAATTTACTAGAAATTGTGCAAATTGAAAAAAAAAAGACGAAAAGCGACTGGACAAAATTAAAAATTGACTGAGGAATATCACCAATTTTACCAAGAAATGGACAACATTTGATTAATTATTAGTAATGGAGAGATTTTTGACAAATATAAACCAAGATAATAATGATAAAAACATAATAGAGATAAAATGGCACTATTAGAAGCACGAAGAGGGATGATTGATAAGGATTTTGGACAAAATGTTTTATTGGTGAGATTACTCCGTGTCGTCAGCATGGTGATAGACCCAAAAATTGAATTACCGATTATTTTAGTCTGATTATCGCCACTGTGTTTGCAAAAAGCCAGACTCATCTGACACACCAACGTACCGATAATGTGCATATCAAAATGATCAGTAACGACAAAATTTGTTTTATAATGATATCTGCAACTGGTATTTGATGTTGATATTTTGGACAGAGTGATTGTATATTTATTGCAATAATAATTTTTAACAACAAACAACTTTTTAACAAGTGAGGAAAATTTTGAACTGGCTGTGGATGGATACAGATATCAGAAATTGGAAAGGATTTTGACAGATATTGATCAAGATGCAGACATTGCATAACGGCAATTGGATAAATTTAATTACGTATGTATTATTTTTAATATTCGTGAGTTAATTTGTAATTATACCTTGTAAGTTAATTACTTATTTCAATTACCTAATCTTTTTATATAAGGTTTTGGATGAAACGAAAAAGTTAGTGTCACGAGTGGGATTCGAACTCACGATCTTCTGCTAAATACGTCGCTGTTCTAACCACTTGAGCTATCGTGACTCACTATAACTTGAGCTCAAGTGGTTAGAGCAGGGTAGCCGAAGGTCGTGGGTTCGAATCCCGCTCGTGACACTAACGTTTTAATTTCAACCAAAACCTTACATAAAAATATTAAGTAATTGAAAGAAGTAATTTGGTCAATAGACCACTAATTATAATTACTTATGATTTTAACTAAGTAATGTACAATGGAATGAGAAGTGGACATTTCACTTACTTAGCTTATTATTCGTATTGCCTCACGTATTAGGTAATTACGATGGATAAAAAAATCTTCTAAATATTGTATTGGAAAGATTTAGTTAATACCATATTATTACAATTTTAAAGTATTACTTATATACTTTAAGAAGTGAGATTAATTTTTAGATTAAATGTTGTGCCCGATAGATCCCTTGGATTTGAAAATTTGGCCTGTTAACCCTGGATTTGAAGAAAGCGGTCGAAAAACTTTTTCTACCGTGGAAAAATTCTTATCCGGGGTTGGCTCCTTATTGGCGACACCTGGCGAGACGATGACCAGGAATCCTCTTAAGGACCAGGGGAAAGTACATTCACCGACTCCAAGCCCCCAATTACGTACAGTTAATCCGAAGGCGTTGTTTGCCTACTTGGCCAATTAGAGGCCTTCTCTTTTATTTCCAAAGTGGGACTCGGCATCTAAAATTAAATAGTCGGGCCAATTGGCGAAACATTGTTCCCGCTCGGGTCGCATTAATAGGAAACCATCGGGCACATGGATGGTATATGGAAGGAGTAACAGCTGAATCCATCCATCACTGACACGGCCACGCCTGAATGGGCTTCGAGGGGATGGATCAACCCTCTTCTCCCACGTATTAACCTTTGAACTGAAAAGCACGCGTTTATAAAACAGCCGTCAGCACAAAAATTGCACGCAGTGCTCAATTAACTAGGTTATTTATCTGATAAAGGTTTGACAACCTGTGGAATAGAAGCTGGACGATATGAATTTTGGCTATGACAAAAATACACAACGCACGTATCATAAACTTCGAAGACAATATGTCACAAAATCTGATGCCATAATAATGTAATTTGATTAATTATGTATTTTTTATTTATTGAAAGGTAAAGTCTTGATTGGGTTAATAAATTTTCAAATTTTGTTTAACAGTAAAGGAAAAAATAAAGAAACAAGTTTGTTGGTCTGTGAGTAGAAAATATACCGAATTGATCGACCCTGATCATAAAACATAAAAAAGAGAAATATTTAGTAATAATCGACTATCGAATGTCGATCATTTCAACCAAAATTTCAAATGAAACAAAATATCAATATATACATAAACATTAACAATATTGTAATTAATTTTTAATTACTGTATTTCCAATAATGTAGAACACTTAAAAATACGAAAAACGCCGATCAAATCCTAACACAAAGACGAAACAAAACGAGGTTTTGGATGTAGCCTTGTGAGACACTTGATCGAGCAACAAGAACCTGACAAAGATAGGATTAGAAGAGCATTTGTTCTTATTGACAGATTCGATCTTTTCGGAGCATTTTAGTCTGCAATTTCTCAAAATTTTGGCGTTTTGCTTTTTGGCTTCTTCCTTTATCAGTGGTGTGTTAATGCAGACTAATGAATTTGGCGCATAGTTGCAACACCTCTAACAGACCAAAGCAGCGAGGATTTTTAATTGTGGTACGATATATAAAACCAGATAAAAGAGGCATATGGCCAGAAACGGCCGAATTTTATATTTAAATTTAACACGAACCGTTTACTAATAACTCTATGCATAAATTGAGGATTAATCATCATCTCGTCTCAACTCTCCAGCTCATGTCGATTTATTGATCGGAAAAATATTATCTACTCTATTATGTTGTGAATTTAAACATTTAAACTATTTGCAATAAAATAATTCAAGCTATTAAAATATTCCTTAACGGAAGTTATACATATACTTATCGTAATTTGTTATGGAGATTTTTTAATCTGATCTTTGTTCATACTTATCAGGTAACTGGAAATATAAATATTGACCTTATCAGGACAAAATATTTAAATGAAGTTGAAAATAAGATCATTTTCATGAAATAAAGTATGAACTGAAAGCTATGAATTGTGGTAGTGAAAAAATAATGTATCATTTACCGCCCTTTCTCCTATTTCTTCTTATCTTTATGTCTTACTCTTTCTTTTCTCTCTCTCTCTCACTCATTTTATGATCTAGATCATTATTTCGCTTTTACACACACAAATACCAACACCATTCACAGATTCTTACTTCTATTTTCTATCTCACTCACTTTCTCACCCTCTCTTTCTCACTCTCTCTCTCTCTCTCTCTCTCTCTCTCTCTCTCTCCACGTTAAGTCTAAGAAAGCTGCACGAGACCTAATCTTACTAAATAAACTATATCAATCCATCTCTCTCTCTCTTCCTCACTAAGTTTCTAGATATAAATTTTTCGTTTTTACACACACACACCAGCAGCTATTACTCAAACCTCTAAAACTCTTTGACCTCCCCCTATTTTGAAAATTTTTACTTCCTCTGTTCTCTCACAACATTGTGTATTCTTTCACACTCTCTCCCCCCCTCTCTCCACCCCCTCTCTCTCTATTTTTTCTCTCTCTGTATCTATCTATCTATCTATCTATCAAAATATCTATTTATTTATCTATCGCTCAGTATTTATACTTAACGTTGAAAACATCTGTCCGACAAAAACAACGAGGACAGAAAAATAATGTAATCGGAAATGGCAAAATTATAATTGTCAAATGTAGAGATCTATGGAGAGAAAAAATAAACATGATTATATGTATTATTTTTATGAACTTATATATTATTATTTGTATAAAGCGATTCCCGGACAACTGTATTATTGGGTAAGTAATGTTGGTCCGTTTGTACCTATATTTATTAGTACACCTCGCCTAATCAGGCTGACGTACATTTAATGCTGGAGCCATAAAAAATCAATCATTGACATTGAAAAAACATTACATTGAAAAAAAAGATAAGGTGTGTTAAACAAGATAATAATACAAAAAGATTGTTTTGCTAATAAAAAATCGATTATTCATTGTTTCAATTTTACGGCCTTTTTCAGGGTTGACAGTTAACTGGCATTTGTACTTTTCCTAGGGCAGTATTCAATTTAAAATAGTTGGAAACAACATTAATATCGGTTGTACCAAAATTGTAAAAGGAAATTGTATATGATGTTCGGCATTTCGGCGACGTCCCAAGGCCGGAGAGAAACCCGAAACGCGCAAAAGATATTTCCGAAAAATTCCCAGCCGAAACGACCAGCCCCGAGGCATCCGATAACGGGCCGGTGGTTAAACGGCGATAGAAAGACGTCCGGCAGATAGCCGAAGATGCTCAGAAGTCAACAAGCTCTGACAAACAGGTTCCGTCGCAGTAAACACGGCTAATATTAGTCGTGAGGAAGAAATTTCCCGAAGGAGAGACCTGACCGTGGAGGTGGTCGATTTCCATGCCCGGGCCTGCGGATGACAGGGCCTCGACAGGTTTGAGAGGTTTACGACCGTCTCGGCCATTTCTAAAAAGTGGCAACCGATCACCGCGAGGATTAACCGAAAGGCTGTAAATCAAAAAACTATCCCTGGGAAAATAATCTTTTTCTTTTACAGTTCCAGGCTTCACTCAATCTAGAGAACTGAGATGACTTTCAACACTTCAGACTCTGAAATAAAGAAAACTGTAATAAATTTCAAATTGCTAAAAATCAAGACGCTCCCTATCATTAAGTTAATTTTAATAATGAACCAAACGTGAGGCTTAATCAAATTCGGCGAAAACGTTAAATAAAAGCAATGAAGAAGTCCTGCTTATTTAATTTCATAATAATAATGATGATGATGATGACAGGGGAATACTAGGAAGCAGAAGTTTTGCATTATCCAAGCACCATTTGGATTCTTGTATTTTTCCTAGTTCCTTAGATCAGTTCAATTAACTCTATCCTTCTTTTAGGAAGTAGTAGGTCATTTCTGGAAATCTTTTCCTTGGGTCTTCTTAATGCCTGATTATTTCTTATAGATGGTTTCGATTGAGCAGTTGCTTCCCTTTTAAAAATAATATAGGTAGCATTTCTTTGTCATCATTGCATAACCTTCAAATAGTGCCATCATTGAGTATACCCATGTTATGATGGTGTTTTCTTGTATGGCAGTGACCACCATGTAGTAATATCACTCTCCTGAGATTTTAACTGTAGCAATATTTGCCATTTTTGTTAAGGATTTTTTAACTTTCAGTTTATATCTGACACTTGTTCATCTTGTTAACCCATGCATAGGTTCTGGGTCTATACATTACCCTTGCCTTTATGACCTGGCATTCAAGGACCATGGTTTTGAGATTCTGGTTGCATTTTTGATTTTGAATGTGCCTGTTTAGTGTAGGTCTATGTCAAGTTCATATGTTTAAAAGAGGTCACACTGACAAACCAGATCAGACAGCCAAGCAGACCTGCAAACAATTGCATGTAAAAATTTCTCATCGGGACTACGGGGGGTTACTCTACTTCATTTTCTTGCAATTGTAATATACTGAATAATACCAACAAATAGTCATTGATTAGCAGATATACAAAAACTACTCTAGAAGGTACAATTTACCTATTAAAAAAGGAATTTTTACTTTTATCGTGTAATTTTTAATACCCATTTAATAGGCAACTCCAGTCAGACGGATTTATATCTATGTCGTCACAAACCAATGTTAAATAATTATTAAAATATCTTTCTATCTAATGAATAATAGCTTTTTCAAATTTGTTTGTTACCGATCATTTTGGCCTGACAATACCCACCGGGTTGGTCTGTCACATGTGCTTCTATATTTCGCCATCTTCTGTATCTCAGATTTCTATGACAAGTCTTTTTCCGGAACAGTATAAAAAAAAACGGACTTAATCCACCAAAATCACCGGCAAACAAATGCCGTGAAACAATCACATATAAAAGAGATGACTTCACAAAAATCATCCAGACCTATCACTGAAGATTGCAAAATTGAACAAAAAGAGAAACCCACCGAAAAACTAAAATGGTCACTGCGCAGATGAACAGAATATTTTTGTTAGTAGTGCGTCAACATCCATAGCTGTTCAATTATTCTACGTGCATTTTTATATGTTAGATTTTCCACAACCAATGCAATCATCAATAATTAATTCTATGTAACTAAATTTTTAACTGGTATTTGCCATGCCCACGGGCTTGGGTTGGAATCGTAGCATAAATCACGAATTTAATTTTTCGATAAAATTTTTTTTTCAACCATGCGGTCACTTAAGTTTCTTGGGCTTTATTATATTTAGCCCAACTCAATTTTCATAACGCAGACATTCTCCGTGTATGTGAGATTTTCTTTTTGCCCACTGTTGTTGTATCGGACCATTATTTTAAGCATAATTTTGACATGAACCATATGTATCACTGGTTGTTATAATTCTAAATACTATACTTGGAATTCGGAAGATGGACTTTATATCCCGAAACGCCACCCCATATTCAACTACCACAGAATACATGTTATCTACATATTTCATCGTTAGAAAATCATTTTATAATTAATTTATATTTTTAGTGACTCAACTTTATCATTGAAACATTGGCTTTCATAGTTATTGCCTTACTCGTGATGACTTAGGAAATATCAGTACTTATCAATTTTCAATTATAACACTGTCGCTTCGCCAAGTTTAACTAAGTTCGAGCCACCGAAGCTTTAAGAAAAAGAGAAAAAATTTTATCTGAAGAAGGTGGAAGTAGATTCGTTGGTGAAACGTCATGAAAAGAGAGTGACAAGCAATATCTGAGAGCTACTGAAAGTTAAGTGACAGATAGGCGCCTCAAGTCATATCGCTCAACCTTTTCGGTTTTTATCTCCTTTTGTTTGTTTTTAATTCCGGGTCGGGGAAAAATGGAAACGAGGCGTCAGAAAATTTTTATAGACGTTTTGCCTGTCGAGGTTTTCCCCCTCGGCGGGTCTGAGAGGACGGATTCTCTCATGGACGGGACCAAAAATCGCCCAGGTTTATCCTAAACCCCGGATCGGTTTTCTCCCCTTTTGAATAAATTACGTATCTATATTCGAGAGACTGGGAAATCAATCTTTGAGAAGAGTTCCTGTTTTGCGGACTATATCAGGACCTAGAGGAGTTTTGTTTTATTCATGGGATTTCTCGCGGGGAGGGCAGTATAAAAAAATATCCCTGGCTTCTTTTCCAGCCCAGCGTACAATGCGTACAGTCCCACCTTGGTCGGTTTTTTCTCGAAATGATCAACTATTGAGATATTCACCCTCTCATGTGTTTCATCTTATTTTATCTTCTTTTTAGATCACGAAGTCTCGAGACCTAGCGGATCCGGTACGAAGAGGGCGAGGACCGCATACACCAGTGCCCAGCTGGTCGAATTAGAAAAGGAATTTCACTTTAATAGGTACCTTTGCAGGCCCAGAAGGATTGAAATGGCAGCCCTTCTAAGACTTACAGAAAGGCAAATTAAAATCTGGTTTCAAAATAGAAGAATGAAATACAAGAAAGATCAAAGGGCAAAAGGAATCACAGGTGAGTTTGCTATTCTTACAAACCCTTGTTAATATATTTCGAGACAGTCCTATGATGATTGAGCAAAGATTAAATTAGAGTTCTTTTGATTTTTAAAACCAGAAGAGATTATTAGACTAAAATTACTTAAATCGTACTTTTCCATTTTTTTAAAATACATTTTATACCTGTTGCACCACGCATTTTTCTTAAAGACTCTTGACGAATAGGTTTCGAGGCTGCTTCCGCTTTAGTTGTCTGACTGATTTATATGAATGAATTATATCGGGTATGATTCGGACTAGTTGGGAGGAGAATTTATCATAGTACCTGGCAAATTTGTTGAGCGATTATTTTATCTACAAAGGATATTTTGAGGTCATTGTGGATGGTGGCATTGAATAGTCGGTTGAGAGCATTAACTATGATTTGGAGGACTGAAAGAATTTCGTTGGATCATTATTGCATGTTTAGCGGAACCCACAATTTGCCCAAATCGGTTTGTCGACATGCTAGTTTTCTGTCCAAGTTGTTTATAGAGTAGGTCGAGTATATAGCATATTTGGATAATATGTTCCAGGTTTGACGTGAATCAAGATAGAACCCGAGGTAACATACGCAGTCGGTTTTAGATATAAGAGTAGGGTTGAGAAATATTTTGTGAAGGATTTAGATTCGGAGGGTACGTGGGTGCATTTCCTGCAGTTAATCTTTACCCCTTTTAGTTTGCTCCATTCGGCCATTGAATGTGTTCCTGGAACTCATCAAAATTCAGGATCGGAGGATAGTAAGACTGTGTTGTTCCAAAATGTTGAAATGAGGGTAGTGAGTCGGGATATGTAAGGTGTATAAGGCACAGGATTGATCCTAGCACACTGCCCCCATATAGGACAAAAGTCAGAGTAGTCCGATCCCAGGCGAACTTGGAAGAATTTTTGGTTGAAGTAGGAGTGAATGATTAAATATAAGGTGTTCTGTAGAACACGCTTTTATGTATGAGAACCTGATGCCACACACGGAAGAACGTTTGTGGTACGTCTAGAACGTCTCCCATACTTCTGAGTACAAGTGGTTTACAACTAGCGGTCTCTAGGGAATGAAGCTGAAATTGACCATTATGACGTGAAGTCAACAGCAGATCCTATGTGTGCTGACGTTGCACAGATAGTCGTGCGGCCAATTGCGCCTTAGTCTCCCACATAGGATGATGAATTGGTATCAATGTATTGGAAAACAAACGTAACTGGGCCAGTTTTGGGACATAAGGTATATTTAAATTGGAGGGGATGTAACAATTGGTAATGCACAATGGTGCATCACCTAATGTCCATATGATTTCGGATTTGAGGGATTGGATTTTTTAAGGTTGTCCAATAAAGTTCAATTAATCCAAATTGGCGCAGTGGGCAGTGTATAAGGTACTTAAACTATAATTATCCTTGATTCTCCATTTCCAAAGTTTCTGGATAACAGTACGGGCCTGAATAAGTCAGTTCAGATCATTTCTCAACTCGTCTTTTTAGAATTTTATAATGAAGATGCTGTCAGAACGTTTTACAGGTTTTACCTTTTTCATGGGTTGCCATATAATTTTTCGATTGGGAGTGAAAACAACTTATAATAGTATTTGGGTTTCTTGGAGTTTTACCTTGATTCTTCATTTCCAAAGGTTTCTAGGAAATCAACATGGCAGAACGCGATGATAGCTATAAAGAAGGAATAAACTGAGGGAGGTAGTGTGCCTCCCTGAGAGACGCCAACTAAAATGTGGTAAATAGAAGACGATGGGTTACTACAGTTACTACAACTGTTGTTAGTAGCTACTTCTGGTTGTAAAGTAGGACATGGTACATGGGCATGGTGTTAAGTAAAAGTTTCCGTAATAAACGCTCGAGACTGGATCAAGGCCTGGAGTATGTCAGGGAAAGCATTCCGGCAGTAATTTTAATAATCGAAGTAGGTGGGATTATTTTCATAACCAATCAAAATTCATTGAAAATAGTTTATAGATAAAATTACAAAGAAGAATGCAAGAATTGGGGTAAGTGTGAATAACAACGAAAAGAAAGGACAAAAACAAGAAAGTTCATTATTAAATAGTTTTGACAACGAGGTTTTGTACGATTTTACTATACTTACTTGGCAAAACATTCGGTTTAAATTTTTGGTTTTTTTTTTTTAAATCGAATAAACTTGTTGCATTCTGAAAAGTACGAATTTTGATAATTCTATGATGCTGGATTTTGGTATTTCCCCCGTCAAGTGTCAAGACCGGTAGGTAAGCCAAACCCATGGGATAATCCTTTCTGGATTATAAATCACAGATTTGTTGGAAATCACGAGGGTGAACGACCAGATCAATGGAGAAATGAAAGGGCTTAAAATGCCCGTCTAGGCATACTTTGTTGGGATAAATAAAAATGAAGTTAAAAAAATTCTACGTCTTATGAATCACAAACTGTTTCAGCTTGATGTGCCAAGTCCTCGTAAAACGTTGGGGGCTCAATTGCCTGAAATTGTTTTTATCAACTTATGCATTTATACCGAAGAATTTTGGGGATTTCAAGTGGTTCTTTTTCTGATAGTCTTTTAGGCTATTTTTATCATCGGTCATGTATCTAGGTCAACCCTGTGTAGAGGATGTCGTTTTTGGTAAGAAAAGGGTATGATAATGGATTGGATGTACAGTCATGCGACAGAGGGTGAAGTTTATATTTTGGGATTGTTAGGGTTGAGTTTGATTCTCCAATTTGGAGCCAATTTTGATAGGAATATCTTTGATTTGAAAGATTTGGTGACGAAATTGGAGGATTGAATGGCTGTGTTAGTACGGAAAGGAATATAATCTATTTTAAGTATGCATTTTTGAATTTTAAAAAACATTCTTCAGTGAGATGAAAAATAATATTGCGTGTTGCACGGTGTATTGAACCTATCAGAACTAGCTTAGAAAAAGACACGATTGACCAAACCAAACATAGACGAACCATTGATGACTTCTGAAACACAAAAACAGCAAGGTTAGGTTGACCAAAATGGAAACTTCATTGTTTATGAAATGCACCTAGGTTGTGCATTTTATAATATGAAACAGTAAATTATTACTACTGAATTGAACTTAGCATTATTGCTTATCAATTTTTGCTTTTCGTGTTTAGGCCAATCCGAGATATCATCGACAGGAGTAGAACCGAATCGAGAATCTGGGATCAGCCCTCCACTTTCTACTTGTTCCTACGAAGCCTCTTCCCCAACTGGAGGCGGAGGAAGTGCAGTGGTCGTCCAGCCTCCGACGGCCGGCTATCCGCAGCAGCATCAGCAGTACCACCAGTCAGCTCAGCACGTTCCGCTCCAAACGCCCCAGCCGAATATGCAGCCCCACTGGGCCTGGGACTACTACCAGCCGCCGCCGCAGCACAACCCGCAGTTCGATGTTGATCTATTCCACTGTCTTCAGGAACAGCAAGCTCGCCCGAACGCCTTAACGGAAGAATGGAGACCTGACGATTTCATCAGCACGGCTTACATTAAACAAGAGCCGCATGAGAACTTTTACTGGCAACAGCAACAGCAGCCTGCTGAAAATATTCCGCCCGTACTCGACTACCAGCAGAAACAGTCCCCAGAACAATTCACCCAACTCTAAATACGCTTTGTTAAACTATTTTTTTAATACGTTTGTAAATAAACCTCTGTATATATTTTATAAGTCGTTAGAATAGTGTTGTTTACATTTTAAAATTAATTTATTTTTAAAATTGATTTTTTAAAACTATTTATGACAGTTTAGCTTTTGTTATTAAAAGAAAAATTCATTATTTCTCATTAAATAATAAAAAATAGATAATCTCATTGATTCCCTTCTTTTTTTAGTTCAATTGGGAGAACGTTGTTTCATAGATTTTGCTTTTTGGTGTTGGGAAGTATTTACCTCCTTCATGTTTTTGTTTGGCGAAAATAAAGCTACCTTGGTGTGGGTTTTTCTTTTTGAAAATTTTCCAGATCACCTGAAAAAAACAGAAGAGGATATGGTTTAGCACACAATGATAGTCAAACAGGAATATCACCATTCGCTAATATTTATATATATTTCGTGAAAATAAACGAAAATTTGTGATACTAACTAGACCAAGAACGCAATTGAAAAATCCTTGTTAATTTTATGAAACTATTGTTACTGTTATTGTTATAAATTTATTATGTTTAAATTGTTATAATAGTATAGATGTCATCAACAACATTAGTAAATAAAATATGAAACTAGAAATTTCTTCGACTTGATGCTGGATGTTACGAAAGAATAAAGAAGATTATGAAGTTTCAGAGATATTACAAAAGAGATATATTAATTGAGGTTTTATAGAAATTACATATTTAATAATGAGCTCGTATCAGGATGATTACAAATTTGAATACAGAAGATGATAAACAGAAGAATTTTTATTGGAATTTCATGTTGATTGTCAATTCATTTTCCTCGAAGACTAATGTGAAGGACCTTGTTAAAATAATAAAAGTTGGGGAAGAAGGTTGGAATTTAATTATATGAAGCATTTTAATTTGAAAAGATTCGAAGAGTCATTTTATGCCATAGGAAAAATCTTCCTGTTTATAACCTTGATCTTATATCCTATAAGCTTATCTACGTATCACGTTAATTAAAGCTTTTATAAACAAATGCCACATAAAACAGGCAGAAATGGAAAATCTTGATGTAAAATAATAATAGAAAATATTTTGAATTGTTTGTATCTTATGTAAGATGTCTGAGGGGGTGATGAACGTGAAATTTGGTCTGTATCGATCGTTCTGATCTGCCTTTCTTAGTAGGGTTGGTCGGTTAGATAAATTTCAGCATTTAGCCATCTTCAAATTTCAGTGAAACAGAGGCAGTACTGAAGATGGCCAAATGCCTAAACCACATTGATCAGTAAAGACTAAATTAAAAATTGTATGTTATTAGTTTACGTTGACAAATTGAACAACTTAACCAATTTTGATCCATGCACATTTAATTATTTGTATTATTGTCCGTCTGTTAAATTTAAAATAAATATACGTTTAATTTTGTATAAGAGGAAGCAGAAATATAGATATTTTCAACCTTTTTACTACACCTACTAGTGACGAATATGCATTTATGCTTGTTATACCGTGGTGCAGCTGGATAAATGATGAATTTTTTTTATCCAAACGAAATATTAAAGAATACAAAATCATGTATGATTTTGTTTATGGTTGAGGTTGGTAGAGCTATGAACATATGTTTTAATCGTGTCACGGGCAAACTCAGCAAAATTCCTTCAGAAGGATCTAACCAGCGAGAACTGGCTGGCCAAGAAAACCGGGCACGACATATTGTGAGATTTGTCGGCGGTATTTGCTCGGTAGACTTGGAATTTCATCGTTATCGATCATTTTGGTCGGTCTATCCTTGCTGGGTTTGCCATTTGCCAGTGAGGATAGGCAGATCGAAATTACCGGTACCTGCCAAATTTCCTGACCAAGCTATTGTTCACGTTTTTAGATGGTGGCGAGATCTATGAGTTTTTCTACAAACCACTAAAATGTCGGACTCAAAAACGGGAGAAAGTAAACACTAAAGAAGTCAGCTACTGCACGTAAAATTGTATTTAAAATTTAGCTTCTGCCATCACTGCTTATAATCCTCTCCATGTAACGTTAAATTAGCTTAACGTATCAGCTTTACTGAATCGTATTCTGAAGATGTGTTTTTAAAAAATTCGTAGCTATAAATGAGGGAGTGGCAAAGGTTCTTGAAATATGTAAAAATGATTAACTGACTTACAAAAATTTTTCCCTCTCTTCTTTCTTTCACTCTATCTTTCTTTATCCATGGCTCTTTCTCTCTTTGTCTCGGTCCCACGCTTGCTCTGTCTGTCTGTCTGTCTGTCTGCCTGCCTGTCTGTCTGTCTGTCTGTCTGTCTGTCTCTCTCTCTCTCTCTCTCTCTCTCTCTCTCTCACTCTCTCTCTCTCTCTCTCTCTCTCTCTCTTTCTTTCTTTATCCATGACTCTATCTCTCTTTGTCTCGTTGTCTCGGTCCCACGCTTGCTCTGTCTGTTTGTCTGTCTGTCTGTCTGCCTGTCTGTCTGTCTGTCTGTCTGTCTGTCTGTCTCTCTCTCTCTCTCTCTCTCTCTCTCTCTCTCTCTCTCTCTCTTTTTCTCTCTGGGGCGGTTGCTACGGCCGGGCGGGGGGGTGGAGGAGGGCTGCCTGAGCACGTATAGCTCCGGTGGTCTAGGAGACGTGGACTTTTCCATAGATATTTCGATGTAAATGGTTTTTATCCACGTCTCCGTAGAGACCACCGTACGGAAAGTAATTGCATAAAATGAAATTATTTAAGAAAGGATCAGCCCGCTTTATCAGCTCCGCCCGGTCCTTCTTGACACTCCTGCTTGTGGCCAACCAATACTGAAATAGTAAGGCCAGGTATAATTACATTAATTACATTTCATTTCTTTTTTAGTTTGTTAAATTTAAGTATGTGCTTTTCGTAAAGTACTATTCCTAATATAAGCCTAGCAAGAAATCAAGGATTTTTAATTTCGAGATCAACAACCTTTAGGGAGAATCGTCGCATGTACGACAGAACGTAATTGTGTTTTTAAAAGTGACTGACATTGTTTACAACGAATTCGGATCTACATTACAAGATCGGCTTCTGGTCTATAAAATGGTCATCGCTAACAACCAATGATCCAAAAGTAGCTTTTAACGTTTTCTACTCTTAAATTCTTTATTTATTTAACGTCCGATAATTATTTTCTTTTAGCGCCAGGAGTTGGAGTGATAGGCAAAATACTTCAGCCGGCTTTTACATTTGATGTCCAACACAATATTTTTATCATCAGCAATTTCTTGACCACATAAATATCTATGATTCTGTATTTGGCTTGAAATCTGGCTTTTAAATAACCATCAACCCCATTACATTAGTCTTTAAAACGGCGAAATGGGTTTTGATCCACTTGTCTGACAGAGATCGACTTCCCCTCGGTGGCAGAAGGGCGGGGCCATCCATCATGGCTCTCCTTATATGAGCCTGTGGATAATAGGCCCTCTTTAACCGAGAACACTCGCAAAATCATTGTTTTTATCGTGTCCATCTTCCCCATTTGACACCCTCAGCAAACAGCACGAAGGGCCGATTCATCCAATTTGTCCTTGGCCCGATGTCCTGCTTCCTTCTTTCAACCTGTGGCGTTGGTTCAAAACCAACATTTGCCAGTTGTTTATGTAAGATCCAAATATTAAAAGTTTTTTTTAGACGTATTTAAATGACACTGTGAATATCCAATGTCATTTTAAAAGGTTGAACTAACTGCAATTAGTAGTAGAAAAGCAATTAAATATTTTATGACATTTTGTTTTAAAGTTATCTATCTATTCGATTAAATTTTATGCATAATATTATTTCGATATTCTCATTAATTGAAAATGTTGATACATTAGGGGTACTTACGATCTTTTCTCAAACCTGTTAACGTTCTTGGTCCTGTTAGATCGAGAAAAATTATGACATAGACTTGTAAGACGAGGCTAGTTAACATTGCTCAATCTAACAGGCCAGGGCCAATGTTAAAAGCCAAAATATAGTGGCAGTGCTATCCGTTAGGGCGTAGGTAACCTTTACCGAAATTGACCAGGGTTCCTGAAACTAGAAAACTAGTGATATCTAAAAGTTAAAATTGTTTTAATCTAAAAGAGTGTCGATATTGATTTTTTTTAGTCTGTTAGGTTACACACTTTTCCGCAACAAGAGAAAATTATAGAAACTACCAAAATTTGACGTTAAATAACCTGCTTTGACAAACAGCTCTATATGTAATTAATCGTTAGCTACAATTATTATCAATTGAATTTAGGGGTATTCACCATCTTTGTGTTAACCCTGTTAACTCTGTTAGGTCCTGTTAGATCGAGAAAAATGATGACGTAGACTTGTAAGAATCGGCTGGTTAACATTACTTGATCTAACAGGCCATGGCCAATGTTAGGTCGAAAATATAGTAACAGTGCTATCCGTTAGGTCGTAGGTAACCAACATGGCGGCCATCAATTTAACAGCTGTGTTTTTTTTACACGTATTTTTAGTCTTAAATATGCATTAATTAAATCAGATCAATACTTTTCTTTAATTAATTTCTGACCTGTCTTTATACTCTCATTCATAGATACATCCCATATCCTATAAAGTTGTAGGCTGTAAGACGTACGAGTTAGGTATGTTGGCACGAATTGAACCGTGTCATTTGCCAGTACTTTTCGAGTGCATAAATAGCATTTTGAGTGAAAGAGTTGATTAATTTTCCTTTCTTATTAACTCCTGGCATCTTACAATTTAAAAGAAAACCAAAACAGACAACACAAACAACAAGCCTTCAAGGACTGTTATAGCTTTATTTTTGGTCCTACCGCCACGAGCAGCATTGCGGAAAAATGAACATTTAACATGCTATGAAAAGAAGGGGGTGTTCACGATCTTACTGGACATTTCTCTATTTGAGTTCACACGAGTCAACGTCTTACAAAAATCGTGAATAATTTAAAAACAGGAATAATAACGATATAAGAAATAAAATCTAAAACTAGAATGAGTAGCTACAAAAATCATTAAAAACATTTCTCTGTCTTGACTTTAAGAAGGGTTTTAGCCGATAACCCACATGGTAAATAACATAAAAAACACATAA